TCTGTCTTTTTTTTCACTTTTTTCTTGCTTTTTAATTTATAGTCGTTGGTTGTCCTCTCAGCCTTCATCTTTGATATTTAATCCTGGCACTTTAAGGTACTCTCTGTGGAAGGTTTAGCGAAGGATATTGATCTTGTCATTCAAAACGAGAGATTAACCAGTGAAATTGCCTCACTGAAGCAGCAAATGTTTGCATTGAAAGAGGAGAAAATTGAAAGCGAAATCACTGTTTCAAAAGCAAAGGAACGCAGGTCTCAATTTTTTAATGGAGATTAATGAAGTTTTTTGAAATTTTGTGGCAGCGTTACTTTATGAAATATATAGGCAGCTATAGTCTGGAAGTAATTGCTTTTTTTTGATGCTGAGGTGTTTCTTTATTTTTAGTGCTGTCTTTGAGGAACTTACTGAAGACTGGAAAAAAAAGGAAGATGACTATTTGAAAAAAATTAATGATCTTGAAAGAAACTTGAGGAAGACCGAGACGGAGAAAGTTCAAGAGTACAAGCAGCAGGTTTTTTTCTCCTCGTATTTTGTTTCTTCTTACTTCTCGATGCTGTTTACTTTTTTTTCTCATAGCATTCTTTTACTCTTTTAGATTTCCTTCCTTAATTCGATTATCGCAGATAAACAGAAAAAGGAGGCAGACTTACTTGAAAGGATCAATGTCCTGAATGGCTTACCAGTAAAAGAAGCGTTAGTATTCTAAAAGACATAACCGGAAGATTATGAAAAAATTCCTAATGAATTAATTGTCACTCTGTATATTAGGCTTATGACTGAGGGTAATTTTGTTAGTGAGTCCAGCCTGTTTTTAGTTCCCCGGTGATGCCATGTTCTTTTTGCTTATTTGCTTATGGAGAGGCTGATTTGGTACCTATGGCGATGTTTTTCTTTGAGGCTTTAGTTTTTAAAACGTGTTCTAAACTATAGATGAAGGATGGAGCAGTTTTTGTTCTATAGGGGACCCTAAAGATACGAAGAAATTTTTAAGAAACTTCGAATTACTAGAAGGGAAAGAAGGGAAAATCTCCTCTAGTAAAGATTGTTTTATCCTGACCAAAATAATTTTAAAATTGATTCAGTTTTGCAGCAGAGTTTTCGTTACCTCAGTGCTAGAATAAAATTCTTTAAGATTCGGTTATGCATAACGTCTAAGAGTTACCATAAAATCATTGCTTTTTTTTGATGTCTAGTATTATTTTTCTCTCTAATCTTACAGGAGGGGTGATGCCAAGGACTTTTTTTTTCTCGGTATTCAGCAAAAATTAAAGGAAAGGGAAGCTTTTTCGGATGATGAAAAAATAGGCACGACCGCTAGTATTTCTTATGGAGTAATCTTGGCCAATCGTAGTAAGGTGTTTACTTTTTACTTCTCATTTGCAATATTTTAGACTTTCTGCACTACCAAAGTCATCAGCAAAGTTACGGTTATATTGCGATATTTGTGAGCAGTTTGATTTACATGTCACTGACAACTGCCCCAATCGCGTGAAGGAGCTTGAGGAGTTTAGAAGTCACTCACACTTTTCTGGCAAGTCAGAAAGTTCTCCAAGAGCGTACTGTGAAATCTGTGAAGGTTTGTGTACTCTTTTCAAAGCGTAAGTGTTATGACTAGTTATTGCAGCTGATAGAGGAAATATTTGAAATACATTTATCTACTGTTTCCAGTATTCGGCCATGATTTGGTGACCTGCCCGCAGAATAAATCAAACGCTAGCGACGACACGTTCTAATGTACATACTTCGTTAACTCAAATCGTATTTATTAGAGTTTTACTTAGATCGATTGAGTGCTGTACGGGAAATTTGTATATTTGTTGTAAATATTTCTGTTGCTGCTGCATTTGCAAAAACATTAAAGTTTATTAAAACAAAGTGAATTTTTTTGGGACAGACTGGCTAACCGGTTGTGTAACATAGGGTTGTATTTCATTTGTTCCTTTTGCAGCGAAGTTTTATTATTTTTATATTTTTATTTATAATTATAGATTTAATTTAGCTGTTGACTGCTTACGTTTTATTGGTGCCTAAATACTTAAGAATTGTGATATCCACTAATTGCTGTTGTGTTTTATGGGCAGTTTCTTTTGATTCGTTGTTTTTATTTTGTTCACTTTAATATTGTAACAGTCGTCCTCTCACCTTGAAAATTTAACATTTTGAAAAACGAGGTTGGTTAAAGCAATGATGACCTTTCACTATTTACTTATTTGGTTGCATTTTCTCTTACGTTCACTTTCATTTAGAAGAGGTGCTTCTCAGCCATTAGGTTGATATTTTTCAAACGAAGTATTGTTTTTGAGATCGTAACTATCTTGAGGCAGAATTTGTTGCTAAGTTTTGTGCTGCGTTTCACGTGAACCGTTAGGATCTTAAATTGAAGTGAGATTTTGGTATAACCGTGCGTTGTAATTCGTAGACACTTGTCTTTGATAAGTTATTGTAATCTTATATGTTCATGAAGGTGATTCATGAGACACTTTGCTTTCAAAAGGTCTTGAAGAGTACAAGTGCTGGAACTTTGACCAATTTTGTATTGATGTTACGGAACCTAAAGTGCCTTGAGCTTTCTTGTAAAGGAATGGTTATTGAGTAGTAAGCCATAGTTTTAGGTGGATCTCCTCTGTTAGTGGCTAATATTGTTTTATATTTTGATAAAATAATTCTTTGCTCATTGATATTGACTGGCATTATGTTCAATGAATTGGTAATAAGCTGAGACAATACTTTAAGTGAATTTCGCAGGTGTCAAAGGGTTTGAGCATAGTCATTTCCTCAGTCTCCTATATCACGTTTATAAAGCATAGTATGTATAACTGGTCAATGTATTTGAATTATACATTGAGATCATATTATTTGCTGGGAAGGGGAGGACCTGACGACAAGTTAGTCATATGGTGAGTGGACGTAGCGATCGTAAGCTTCTTGGGTGGTGTCTGAGTCGATGGCGCCATAGTTGGCGTTGGCTGCAGAAGTCTGGTTAAATGCTTCTGTGAGTTTGTTTTCGCCACACTGGACAGGAACGCCTTGTGGAGCTGAAACGAGAGGTGCATATATGGTCAGGATGGGCACTGCGGCGTATTTTTGCCTAACATTAAGGACAAAAGTGGGTTGCGCTCTTGAGCAGTGCTCAAATAACTTGCAGTTTTACCTAGAGCTCCTCCGAATTCCTCATCGTCGAAACCATTTTGGCTATACTTGACACCTTCGTAACGTAGGAATCTATTAATAGCGTAGCTGATCCCCAAAACAACTGCAGTGGCTGCAGCGTATAGCTGTAAAGTAACTCTGGTACCTAAAAATAGTTCAGTAATTATAGGAGTAAGGTGGTGGGTGGGTAAAAGAGTTAAAAATTTATATATGCCGTTTTTTACAATACTCCTCTTTTTATTTTTCATTTACTCGTTTCTCTAGTACGGGAGTAATGAATTTGAAAGGAGAAGAAAGAACTTTTTGAGAAGATCAGTATATTATCCCGCAAAGGTCATTGGAAGTTTTACTCAGCTTGTCATAGAACGCTTGAGTCGTGAATAGAAAAGTATTACCAAAAGAGGAAATAATAAATCCTCCAATTATGCTGCCAAGTCCTTTCCCAATACCGTGGTAGACGAAAGCTAGCAGCGTTTGAGCGGTACTTTTTAATTGGGGCGGCGCGATCAGCGAGATATATGACGATGCTGCAGCCCAAACGGTTGCCAGTGTCACTCCTAAACGGGGATTTCGTCATGAATCTTTCCACATATAACTGTACACATTAGCTGCATCATAGTAACAGGGAAGAATGCAGTAATTATATGTTGAATGTTTTGTATTTTTTATGTGTTGTTACAGATGTTGAACTTATAAAACACGTTTACCCTTCCTAGTCCCTCTGAAGAGGAAAATACCTACAGAACGATGCTCAGATTTAGAGAATTCAACATTAGCATGTAGCAATGAACCCAGTATTAGCAGATTTAATATCGTTGACATTGGGTTTTAAAGTATAAGTGAATAGATCAATGAAGAGTGTCATTTAAAGTAAATGTTTGATTTCTTTTTTGAAAAACTAACTGGACCCGTAACTATCGTAAGAAGCGGTGCAGAAAAAATTGGCAATGAATGGGAAGTATGTCATCTTGTTAACCCTAATTTGTCGATATTGCATTATTTTTCGATGTGAACAGGTCTCTATTGATCAAATAAACTTGTAATTGTACAGTATTTGTAAAAATAGGTTACCCTGAATGGCTTGCAGTGGCAGGACCATCCACGGATTTGTCAGCAAGCTGATAATCAGAAATCGGAAAATATTGGCCGCAAGGCAGACGTACATCAGCTAAATTATAAAATGTATGGTTTGTTGACTTTGCAGTCAAGACAGCTAAAGCTATAAAAAGCTTATATCACTTTGCTGATTTTGTTGCATCTTATTTTTTGAAAAACTGGAATGTAACGGATTTGCTGAAAATTAACGTTTCGTAATGCATAGAGCAGAAAGACTAATTCTTATGTCAAAATACTAACTTTGAGGTGGCCAAATTTGTTTATGAATTCATAACAATAAAAGTAAGCAGCTATCTCAGAGCCGTGGTTAATGACCGACGCAACACCGAAAAGAACTGGTGAACCACCAAAATCCTGAAATTTTAAAATGTTTGAAGAACGACGAAGAGGCCATCTTATCAAAAACTATAGTTGGTTTTGAAATTTACTTGAAGATGCCAGAATAGAAAGGCGAATATAATGCCAGCCCCAACACCTATGGTCATTACAGAAAGCATATACAGTAAGGCATGACCTTGAAATAATGCCTTTACTGTTGGTATCCATAGTGAACCTTCGGACGGAGTTGTCTAAATTAAAAGCTTGCGCTGTGACATAACATTTACCAAAATTAGTAAGTTGTACATTGTTAAGGATAGTGCTGTGGAGCACATTATTTTAGCAGTGGTTTCCTTTAAGTAACTTGATGATCCATTCTTTTCACACAAAGAACTTTCACTTCGTATTCTCAATGAACTTCATTAACTGAAGAGATGTTTAGGCTCAAAAACCTGAATTTGCCTAGTTCTAGCTTTTTGTGCCACCGCTGGAGCTACTTCATCAGCCCGTGAATCAGTCACTGCAAAAGTGACTTCTTCAGGTAGTTGCTCCTTATCCATTTGAAAAGCCATTGCTGCAAACAAGAATCTTTATTCAGCTCTTTAAGAATTCACATTTTTGTACAGTGGACTGTAAAAGTAATTTGGGGACCAGTAATTTTCTATTATTCTTGGAAACCCAAGCTTTTAAAACTGAGTATTATTGGAATAGGAAGGTGCTCACCTGATATAAGAGCGAGAAACATGAAAAATGTACAGGCAACGAAACAAACAGTATAGTTCCGTTCAGTTGTGTTACGTGTCGGACACGGATGATTTTGGAACGTGTCTGAATAATCCAGCACTATACCCATAACAAACATTGCAAGACCCCAACCAACGCTGCCCAATAGACGGATTTGCCCAAGCTGTAAGGACTTGTTGTAATTGCGGTTTGGTTGCTCCAACAAAAATGGTATCCTCATTCAGTTTTGCTTGGCTATCACAATTATGAAAACCCAGCCATTTTCAAAAGCATCTACCTTTTTTGGTTGGTCAGCAACATGGTTCAGTGTGACACCGTCAGCTAGAGCGAGGGCAGGAGATCCAAAAAATTCACTGAGTATCACCAAAAGCAACAAAAGTAAAAATGCCTACAAAAACGAGTTGCTAACTAAAACTCAAGCGTCGACTAAAACGTAGTCTGGAGCAGTATAACCGATATCTCCATTTTACAATAATGGGAAACAAAAACAAGCGAAAGAAATACCTGTTCAACACGTGTTTTGAGGTAAATTCTGGTGCTGTGAGGTGGGCTCACTAATACACCATTGATTCTTTCATCGTAATCACATACCTAAATGTATCAACGTATGTTTATAGAGAAATCTTGTTTTCTGTCGTATTTTGGAACGAGATATTTGAATTTTACAATTTAGGATTTTTTGTGACGTCTAAGATATCATTTTCTTGTACAGTATACGAGTCGACTAATATGCTTAAAAATATTGTGCACAAAGATAAAACTTTATTTACCATGCTTTTGGTAATCACATCAGGTGCTAGCCCTGGAGTAATGATGGTTTTTTTGTCCACTAAACTGATATCAACAATTCGGTCCTCTTTGGCTTAAAAAAGTCCAATATTTCAACGAGTGGTTAATTTTCAAACGATATTTAGTGAAGAACAGCAGGCGTAAGCATTTAAAAAAGTTTCTGGATTTCTTTTTAACAAAAAAAAGAGTACCATAAGTTCCTTTGGTTAGCGCATCCATAGCGTTAAAAAGCGCTCCATGAGCAACCTCACCAGCTTCTGTCAGCTTGAAACAGCCACTTGAATTCTCTGGTTTTGTAACACAGAATGGCGTATCCGGTTGCACGGAACCAATGGCCCATGTGAATAAAATATATGAAACTATTGAAAACAGCAATAAAACTTTACCCTGAAAAATTTAAAAAAATTTTTTTAAAGAAAACCAGAAACAATTGCATAAAAATTAAAACTTTTTATAGTATTTCTAACATCTTCATTTAAAGTAAACTTAAAAACAAAGCTTTTGTTCTATTTTGAGCAAGCACACTATGGCCTTGCACACATTTCATAAGGTTACATTCCTTGCTAAACTTGCAGATTGTTGAAAACAGTAGTTGAAGAAAATCCTGTATGCAATTTTTTGAATAAACTTTAATGATGGTTTTCTAATGACACTTGGCTCGCTGATTTTCAAACAATTGATTATTACCTAGAAAACCAAATGAAAATACACGGTTTATGCTAGGTATTTTACGCTTTCCAAAACGCCTAAATCATTTTGTTATACCATTTTACCGTGATAGTTAAAGTGACTGCCCAGAAGTTTTTTGGTTAGAGTTTTTTGAAGAAGATAAAGAAAGAAAATTTGGTGGCAATTTGAATAAGTTCAATGTTGTTGCACCTGTGAGTGTTTAATTCGCTTGACATTCTTAACGAGCAGTGGAACAATCTAAGAATTTTGAAAAACTTATAAACAAAAAAATTTTTCAGAATTTCACTTTCTATGCATTTTCTTTCAAAACCTTAATACAATTTTTAATTTCTAACCTACTACTGCACAAAACCATCAAAAACTAACATTGTTTGGAAAACAACATAAAGTGAGACGTAAATAATTGGAAGTTTACACCGTAAATCTGATCAAACAATTTTCTAAACTATGAAAAAAAATGCAGCAAGTTTGGTGGACTGTTGCTTACACTGATGTCCTTGAGAAGTGGCATGGTTTAAGTGAAGCTTAACAGTTACGATGCAAAACCTAAAAAGCAACAACTTGGCTTCACTGGCAAAACAACAGTAATATCTGTTGCGAAAGAAGAAAAATTAAGATAAGTAAGAATTTCCTTAGTGACTTATAAAATACAAAACAAAAGTTAAAAAAA